CAGAGGCGCAGGGCAATCAGGGGATTGGGGAGCTCCCCCCTATCAGGCACAGAGGAGGGCTGATCAGGGGGTTGGGGTGCCTTCCCCTGTCACGAACAGAGTAGGGCGGATAGGGAGGTTGTGGCCCCGCCCCCTGTCACTCACAGAGCCACAGGGCGATCAGGGGGTTTGGGCGCTGCCCCCTGTCACGCTGATCCCGGTGCTGGGAGCCTTGCTGCTCCGCTGATCCCGGTGCTGGGAGGCATATTACCCTTTTACTATATAGGATAGAGGCCTGGTGCATGGGTAGGGGCTGGCTGGTTTGCCCTGAAGGGTGTCCTGGATCAGGGTGGGGGTCCCCACTGGGGTGCCTGGCCAGTCTGGGTGAGGGGCTGAGGGCTGTTTTCCGGCTGTTGAGTGACTAAAGCTTCCAACCGCTCCTTGTTTTCTTCTCTTTTTTTTTTTTTTTTTCTGGGCCAGCTTTAGCTCTGAGGCCTCGCTGCTGAAAACATAGATACAATGTTGCGGTCCGAGCCCGGCTGAATGGAAGCCCTTTTCTGGGGTTTTGTTTAGCTTCTTATTTGCAACATAGTATATAGTTGCTTAGAGTTGCAACTGAGAGGCCGGCAAGTGAGGCGGTGAACGTTGGAGTCTGCAGCAAGCAAGCCTCCCTGCTCGCTTCAGTGCCTGGCTGCTGGCTGCCATCTTGGCTGACAGTTAATTTGCATATACTCACTGATTAGCCAATGAAAAGGGTAGCGGTCGTACGCCAATTACCATGTTTCTCTTTTATTAGTGTAGATAAGCAAAAACTCAGAAAAAACTGGGCAAATCAGCTTTTACTTTTACAGCTTTTCTCACTTTTAGTAAAGCAAGCAGATATATTCTTGTATTTTTAATCATTTAACATTTAATACATAGTTATCCTATATAATAAAAGCGTAGAATGCAAATTGTCCCCTCGAATGGAGTTCTTCCCATAGTTCGATCAGGGGGCAGGCCGGCCAGGGGAAGGGAGGGAGGCCCTGGCACTGGCAGGTGGCTGTGGGAAGGGAAGGAGGCCCCGACCAGTAGCCAGCAGCCACTAGGGACCCTACCAGTGCATGAATTTCATGCACTAGGCCTCTAGTATAAATATAATTATGTCACTCCCTGATCTAAGACTTTTGGCAATTCCCAACTACTTCCAAATAAAATCCTATCATGGCAACATGAAGCATTTTTTCTTAGCTTGCTTCCTATCTAATTCTTCAGCCTCATCTCTAGCCATTCCTCCACTCACTCCTAGAGTTCAAACAAACATGACTTGTATGTCTCACAATGTATATGTGTGTGACTCTCATGTTTGCGCACATTCTATTCTACTGTCTGGAAAGTTCTTTTCCAAATTTTACTAAGATAAGCCACACACATCCTTTAAAACTTGTCCATCCCCTTTATGTATATGGTATAGAATATCACATCAGTTACCAAACTACATTCTAAACGTTTATTTTCCTATTTTTCTTTTCTGCTACACTGTAAACTCTCTAGGGCAAGATACTACATCTTTTATGTTCAGAGTCTCATTGCCTGGCACACAGTAATCTATCATATTCATGCTACAGTTGAACAAGTGCAGGCCCAAATAAATTGAATTATTTTCCCAATTTCATAGGCCAATTAATGGCAGATTTAATATTAGAATCTAAGACTTTTATCTCCAAGTTCAATGCTCTTTCTATAAATGCACCTAAAGATAACAGACCAGAAGGAATTATGCATTAATATCTAGAATATTCAAGCCAGACATGGAACTAAATGCAGTATAAAAAAGTGAGAGCTTTAAAAACAAAAATTGGACACAGTTAGTTATAATGGATTTTCAAGGAATGGGAATAGGTGATAAAAATAAAGAGAAAAGTCAGATAGAAAAATACTATTTTAAAAATAAGAATTGCATGGGAATTAGTATCCTATCTAATAATAGACAAACAGGGTAATTGACCGTACCTTTGATACGCCGCCCATTGGCTAATCAGCATGATATGCAAATTAACCGCCAACAAAGATGGCGGTTAATTTGCATACATAGGCTCCAAGAGGTGGAGCGAAGCCTGACGACTGGGGCCGGTGGAGCAGGGAAGCCTGACGTTTCCGGGGCCGGCACCAGCCAGAACTCGGCCAGAGCAAAGGCCTGGGCCCCAGGTGCCGGAGGCAAACCGGTGCCAGCAGCCAGGGGAAAGGAAGGCCTATTGCACAAATCTCTTCATTCAACAGGCCAATAGTATATGTGTGTGTGTGTGTGTGTGTGTGTGTGTGTGTGTGTGTATACACACACATATATATATCATGAAAAAATAAATATAATAAATAAATGTATCTGTAATAAACTTTAACATTTTTTCTTTGGTCATAACAAAATGAGGAGTAAAGTACATAGCTAAAAATCAACAAGATCAAGCATTTGTGCCAAGGTAATTGGCAGAATAATGCCAAGGTCGGAGTAGGTTTATTTGGTGTATAATTTACCTTTTATGGGGAAAAAAGTTAAAGGAAATAACCTTTTAATTTAAATTAAAAATCACCCACCTAAGAAGAATAAACTGGGAAAAAAACTCAATTTACAAATAAAAATAATATATAACCAACTGAGCTGTATATGCTTTTTAATATTTATGAAATACAAGAAAAAGAAGCCTCACCACATCTTACCAAGTCTTTCATGCTATCTTTAGGGCAAAGGGTATCAGCTCAGTAAATTTTTAAATCATTCATTCAACAAGCACTAAATGCCAACAATGTGCCAAGGGCACTGAGAAGCAATAAAGGGCAGTGGCTAAGAGAACAGACAAGCCAGACTAAATAGATTCAAATCCCTGTTCTACTGCTTATTAGCTGTCTGACCTTGTGCACATTATTTAATCTCTCTTTGCCTGTTTCCTCATGTGTAAAATGGGCCTAAAAATAATAATAGGATTATTATGAGACTCAAATGAGCCAACTAACGTAAAGCACTGAGAGCAGTACACTAATGTAAGTATAGTAGGTGCTAGATGTGCCATGCTATTACTACAATGACTACCACCAAGTGGCAAGGCAGAATGAGTAAGACAGTCTCCATTCTAAATGAAACCACAGTGGGGTAGAGAAAATAACATATGAACAAATCATAATATAATAGAATAAGTACAGTAATATATATATATAGATATAGATATAGATATAGATATAGATATCCAAATTGTCCCTCGGGAGTTCAACCACTCGATATGATATGTGCTGACTGCCAGGGGGTGGTGCGGAATGAAGGAAGGCCCCGGCGGGCAGCTGGCAGCCTGGGAGAAGAGGCCCCGGCCGGCAGCCAGAAGGCCCTGATCGGCCCTGATCGCTGGCCAGACCTAGGGACCCTAC